TTAACCCTGACCTTGTGCCAGATGAAGACATCGAACCCAGTCCAGAAACACCTCCACCTCCAACATCCTCAGCCAAAGTAAATAAAATTGTAAAGAATCGACGGACTGTGGCAGCAATTAAGAATGATCCTCCGCCAAGAGATAATAGAGTGGTTGGTTCTGCACGTGCACGGCCTAGTCAGCTTCCTGAACAGTCTTCTTCTGCACAACAGAATGCACGTAGGAAATCTAATTGTGTGAAAGAAGTAGAAAAATTGCAAGAAAAACGAGAAAAAAGGAGATTGCAACAGCAAGAGCTTAGAGAAAAAAGAGCCCAGGATGTCGATGCCACAAATCCAAATTATGAAATTATGTGTATGATCAGAGACTTCAGAGGAAGTTTGGATTATAGACCCTTAACAACAGCAGATCCCATTGATGAACATAGAATATGTGTTTGTGTAAGAAAACGACCACTCAATAAAAAAGAAACTCAAATGAAAGACCTTGATGTAATAACAATCCCTAGTAAAGATGTTGTGATGGTACATGAGCCAAAACAAAAAGTAGATTTAACAAGGTACCTAGAAAACCAAACATTTCGTTTTGATTATGCCTTTGATGACTCAGCTCCTAATGAAATGGTTTACAGGTTTACTGCTAGACCACTAGTGGAAACTATATTTGAAAGAGGAATGGCTACATGCTTTGCTTATGGGCAGACTGGCAGTGGAAAAACTCATACTATGGGTGGTGACTTTTCAGGAAAGAACCAAGATTGTTCTAAAGGAATTTATGCACTAGCAGCTCGAGATGTCTTTTTAATGCTAAAGAAGCCAAACTATAAGAAGCTAGAACTTCAAGTATATGCAACCTTTTTTGAAATTTACAGTGGAAAGGTGTTTGACTTGCTAAATAGAAAAACAAAATTAAGAGTTCTAGAAGATGGAAAACAGCAGGTTCAAGTGGTGGGATTACAGGAATGAGAGGTCAAATGTGTTGAAGATGTACTAAAACTCATTGACATAGGCAACAGTTGCAGAACATCCGGTCAAACATCTGCAAATGCTCATTCATCTCGAAGCCAGGCAGTGTTTCAGATTATTCTTAGAAGGAAAGGAAAACTACATGGTAAATTTTCTCTCATCGATTTGGCTGGAAATGAAAGAGGAGCTGATACTTCCAGTGCAGACAGACAAACTAGGCTTGAAGGTGCTGAAATTAATAAAAGCCTTTTAGCGCTCAAGGAGTGCATCAGAGCCTTAGGTAGAAATAAACCTCATACTCCTTTCCGAGCAAGTAAACTTACTCAGGTGTTAAGAGATTCATTCATAGGTGAAAACTCACGTACCTGCATGATTGCCACAATCTCTCCAGGAATGGCATCTTGTGAAAATACTCTTAATACATTAAGATACGCAAATAGGGTGAAAGAGCTGACTGTAGATCCAGCCTCTGCTGGCGATGTTCGTCCAATAATGCACCATCCACCAAACCAGATTGATGACTTAGAGACACAGTGGGGTGTTGGGAGTTCACCTCAGAGAGATGATCTGAAACTTCTTTGTGAACAAAATGAAGAAGAAGTTTCTCCACAATTGTTTACTTTCCATGAAGCTGTCTCACAAATGGTAGAAATGGAAGAACAAGTTGTAGAAGATCACAGGGCAGTGTTCCAGGAATCTATTCGATGGTTAGAAGATGAAAAAGCTCTCCTAGAGATGACTGAAGAAGTAGACTATGATGTAGATTCATATGCCACACAACTCGAAGCTATTCTTGAGCAAAAAATAGACATTTTAACTGAGCTGCGGGATAAAGTGAAATCTTTTCGTGCCGCTCTGCAAGAAGAAGAACAAGCCAGCAAACAAATCAACCCGAAGAGACCCCGTGCCCTTTAAATCGGCATTTGCTGCTAAAGGATCCCCATAACCTCACTACTGTAACATAAAATGGTTCAGCTGTAAGGGCCATTTGAAAGTTTGAAATTTTTAAGTGTCTGTGGAAAATGTCTTGTTCTTCACCTGAATGACATTTCAATTTTGTGAAACACTCCTTTGTCTACAAAATGCTTCTAGTCCAGGAGGCACAACCAAGAATTGGAATTAGTGAAGCCTTTTGTTTCCTTTACCCAAATAGTGATTTACTTTTGGAGATCCTTGCCAATTTTGTTTTCTATATGAAGATTATGGACTTGATCCAGAGGTGGATAGTGGGGGAAGCCACAGCATTTCCTTTTAACTCGGTTCAATTTTCGTAGCAAGACTGAGCAGTTTGAAATCCTTGCGTGCATGCATACCTCATCAGTGATTGTACATACCTTGCCCACTCCTGGAGACAGCTGTGCTCACCTCTTCTGCTTTGTGCCTTGACTAAGGCTACTGACCCTAAATTTCTGAAGCACAGCCAAGATAAATTACATTCCTTATTTGTCCTTGTAAATTACCTTTGTGTGTACATTTTTACTGTATTTGAGACATTTTTTGTGTGTGACTAGTTAATTTTGCAGGATGTGCCATATCATTGAACGGAACTAAAGTCTGTGACAGTGGACATAGCTGCTGGACCATTCCATCTTATATGTAAAGAAATCTGGAATTATGATTTAAAACCATATAACATGTGATTATAATTTTCTTAGCATTTTCTTTGTAAAGAACTAAAATATAAACTAGTTGGTGTATAATAAAAAGTAATAAAATTCTGAAAAAAAAAAAAAAAGAACATAAATGTCTTAACACAATAATCAAGTAAATGAGGTGAAAGCTACGCTGATTGGTTTGATGTAACCATGTCAGATTGTATAAAAAAAAAATCAACACATTGTAGCCCACATGTGCATAAATGTATTCACAATCCATGTGTATTTGACTTAATAATAATAAAAAAAGAATCTCTCTCATGTTCCTGTCTTTGTGAACATTCATTTCATTTCTAAGACTGTATCTTAATGAAAAAAATCAAGGTCTAGACAAACACTTAGGGACAAAACTACCCTTCACAGTGTTGTAATAAGAAAAAATGTAAGGTAAATAAATATGACTAACTCTTAATGACCATTAAAACTAATGTTTTTGAAGAATGTTAAATGGCTTAAGGTTAGATCAAAGATAAAAAGCTAAAGGAGAAAATAAGAATTCCGAACTATATGCAGAGCATAATTCTGACTGTGTTACGTACACACACACCATACTCCAACACATATGCTGGAAGGAAACGCACTGAAATATTTACCATGCTATTTCAGAGAGGTGAGATTATGGTTAGTTTTTCTTTTTACATCACTAAAATTTAATCTATCTGAGAAGGTAAAATACATTTATTTTATTGACTGCTGTATTTTGAGAATTACTCATATATAATAGATGATAAATTTAAAAAATTTAATGAATTTTTATTTCTCCTTTTCTAAAATAAGTATTGTTTTTCATAGGACAAATTCAATCATTATTAAAAAGCGTGTGTTGGGCAGCACCTGTGGCTCAGTGGGTAAGGCGCTGGACCCATATACCGAGGGTGGCAGGTTCGAACCTGGCCCCGGCCAGCTAAAACTGCAGTGGTAACTGCAAGAAAAAAAGGCCGGGCATTGTGGCTGGTGCCTATAGTCCCAGCTACTCAGGAGACTGAGGCAAGAGAATCACTTAAGCCCAAGAGTTGGAGGTTGCTGTGAGCTGTGATGCCACAGTACTCTACCTAGGGCAACAAAGCAAGACTCTGTCTCAAAAAAAAAAAAACAAAAAGTGTGTGTGTGCATATATATATGAGGGTTATATGGTAAATACCAAGCCATGCTCTATGAAAAATACAGACATATATGGCTGGATACTTTGCTCAGAGCCCTAGTATGTATGTGTATATACATATAGATAAGTAGATAGTTAATTTATACTTGAGTAAATTCTACCTACAAGTTTGAAAATGACTTAATGCCTATATAAGGGAATTTATGTATTATATAATTCTAATTGAAAAACATTTTGCTCCCTATCAAGCCTAAGCAACTAGAACATCGAATGTTCATTAGTTATTTTCCTGTGCTCAGCAAAGAACATTTAGGAAGTACCCCAGAGTTTTTTTGACTATAAACTTTCCCCATGACTCTCAATTTTCTCACTAAATATAGTTAGATAGGTAACTATCTCTCTCTCTAATATAGTTAGATAGGTAGATAGATAATATAAAGCAGGCAAATAAGCTTGGGAATTTTTTAATAAACTCTTCATAGAGATAAGATTTTTTATTTCATGTACATATAAAGTATATTTGAAATGATGTTTGAAGAGATTATCAGGATTCTATCACAATTTCATTCAGTAATACATGTGGCGCACTGTGATCCTCCACGAGAACCTGAGGTTCAGTTTCTCACATTGACAAAACTTTGATTTCAATGGTGGAGGCCAAACTACTTTAAGTAAAAGGTATTTTAATTGACTAAATCATGAAGCCATGGATACACACAGCTCCTGGCACAGTGAGAATAACAGTCTCACACAGTTACTATCAGGGCTCTTGGTCTGTGTCATTTTACCCCCAGGGAGGGGTGGGGGCTCTGCGATGGTAGAGGGGGGAAGGGCAAGAGGCCAGGGTGGGGAGAGGAAGGCAGCTCTAGGGATCTTCAGGCCAGATGAAAGAATAGAGATGGCAGGTGGAGGCTCGGGCAGATGGGCTGGTGGGGGGATTACTCAAGGGCTTGCTGAGACGGCCAAGGATGAAGTGCGTGATGACTCCGTCTGAGAAACTGGAGAATCTGAACATGCCAGAGAGGAAGCAGCATCTTCCTGGGTCTGCTGGAATAGCACCATAATGACCAGTCGTTGCCCTGTTACACATTTCACAAGGGGGCTCTGGAAATAACACACGACTGAAGTTCATGACGTCGTGATCCTCACCCTGAGGCCTGTAGAAGACGGGAGGTACAAAGCTGAGGCCAGGACCAGAACACGGAAAGGAGGGCTTGCTGGCCTAGCCGGGCTGGGGCCACCTGAAGCCTGCACCCACACCTTGCCCCATCCCACGACTTCACAATACACTCTGAGCCTCCCCCCAAAGTTTTCCTTCACTTACCTGTTCCCATGGCTACCCCCTCCCATGACCATGGCAGGGTTCCCTGAATCCGTGACATGCATAGAACATGCTTTGAGAAGAGACCAGAAAAGAAGGGGGGAGATTAATCACCTCATCAGAATGGAAATCATGGCCTTCTCCTCCTCTACTTCCCTTGGGCACCTTCTCCGCCCTGGGAAACCAGGAGATGGGGCGACAGGTGAGGAAGGTGGAAGTGTCAGGATCACAGGAGTCCCCTTCATGGGAGACCCTTGGGGTAGTAAACTCTGATAGCCCCCAAACCAGCAGACAAGGTCAAATGTCAACAGTAACCTTAACAAGGTTCACGTGTGGGTGTGGCCTCATTTAAAAAGGACTTTCACGCTCATTATCCCACGGGATGCTCAAACCCAGCAGGTGCAGCACAGGCAGCAGCAGGGGTTACCTCGGAGAGGAAGCTGAGCTCCTGGGATGTCGGAGGACTTACCCAGAGTCAGGACACAGGATTCTGACTCCAACCTAGGGGGCTCCCCCCTCACCACCTCTCATGGTCACCTACTGGGTAACACCCAGGGCCACAGTGAGCAGAGCAGGGACTCTGAGAAGTGTCTCGGGTCACGTTGTCTTCCCGGGAGCGCCCCCTCTGAGGGCCCTCTTCCCAGAGAGACTGTATCTAGCAAGTGACTTCCTCAGAGATCAGGACCTGGGACCTCACGGAAGGAACAGGAAGCCTCCCCCTTGGAGAGCTCAGGCCAAGTATGCAGAAACTTACCTTTCCATGTTCCAACTTTCCCTCCCTTCTTGGTTCTGCCCTGATGCTCAGAACAAAACAAAGCAAAAAAAAAAAAGAGCGAAAGAGAGATAATAAGAGGCTGGGACTCACTCCTCTCACTCCTCTTCTTTAGGATATTCATTATTCATGAATAATGTGACTCTCCATTTTATTTTTTTATTATTATTAAGTCTTTCGTACATAGATCATAAATATGTTTATGCCATTATATGATTCACTGTGATGATTATTTGTACAAATTGGAATGTTTACATACTATTAAACATCATAGCCTTCACCACTTTTACCCTATTACAGGATTAAGACATTTATGCTCTACACCTGATAGATCCAACTTGTACTTGCAATATGCTCCATAGGTGTGGTCCCCCACCAATCCTCCATCTACCGACCCACCCCCTCCCTTCCCCTCTCCCTCTCCTTCCCTCTCCATTTTAATTGACAGATCTAGGAAGAAGTACTTCTATGCTTCTTTGGAACCAGAAATGGTCCAGAATAGCCAAAGCAATCCTAAGCAAAAGAAACATCTGGCATCACATTATGAGACTTCAAACCATATTACAGGCTATAGCAATCAAGACAGCATAGTATGGCACAAAAATAAAGACATAGACCAATGGGACATAAGAGAGACCCTAGATATAAAACCACGCACATATAGCCAAGGGATCCTTGACAAAGCAGAAAACAACACACATTGGGGAAAAGAAGCCCTGTTCAATAAATGGTGTGGGGAATACTGGACAGCTATAGGAGAAGAATGAAACAGGATCCACATCTTCACCACCCACAAAAATTAAAGCAAGATGGATATAAAACTTAATCAAAACTGAAAACGGGGTTCATTCTTAGAAACTCTTACATAAAATGAGTTCCAAGTTCTCTCTGCTAAAGTGAAGAGATGAATAACAGCAGAAAGAAAACTGCAAGAGCTTCCTATGCTCCCCCGACAACTTTTTAAAAGCCTTGGAACTGTATTCACCCTAGAAGGGGTCTGATTCTATAAGTTAATCATTGTTTCTAGAATAGAACTGCTGTTCGAATAATTAGACTTTTACTATAATCTATGTTCTTGGTCAATTTAGCCAATAGAAAACATTCACCAGAGCCACAAAATTTAATCCAAAAACCATTATTCACCGCCTAAGTTTTATGAACTATTTCGAAGAAGGAAATAAAATCTCTGCAGGACTAGTTTTGCACACTGAAATCTATAATGATAGAGAATGCTTTTTTTCATCTCAGTACTCTTCTTGGTATCATCTCCTTCCTCTCAAATTTCCTTGTCATTGGAAGGAGAGAGAGCTATATAGATACCTTCAAATTAAGGAGAATAATTCATTGTCCCTATTTTAATCTTCGGAAAACCTGTGCCTTTTAGATCACCCACACCATTCTTTACCATCACAGCCTCTTAAATGACAAACAGTGTCCAACATAGATTGCACAAATCAAAGCAGCTGAAGGCTCACAAAGAAGAAAGTTTGTATGGTCACACATTATGGTATAAATCAATCAAGCAGCAGGAGAAGGGGGTGGGAATATTCACTGCTGGGTACAGTGCACACTATCTGGGTGAAGGGCACACTCATAACTTTGACTCATTCCGTACAAAAACAATGTAAACAAAACACGTATACCCCCTAATATTCAGATAAATAAATAAATAAAAATCAAGGGATGGTAATATAAGTAGTTATCTTTGGGTATGGAGAAGGGATGGAAGAAACAGTGAAGTTGAGCAGACTTTGTAGCAAATTTTTGTATATTTGTGTGCTGTTAAAAAATTTTACAATGGGTGGCGTCCATAGCTCAGTCAGCAGGGCACTGGCCACATACACTAAGGGTGGCCGGTTCAAACCTGA